TCACCTGCGCTATCAACACGTGACGACGGCATAAATGACAGTTATTCCAGCATAAAGCACTCGCATTGATTAAAGAGTGACTGGTTTGTCCACGTATTGTTTTATTTCTCTCTCTCATCGCTCTTGATGTAATGTATTGGGAAGCCAGAATTTGTATCCATCAACAGAAACATGCATTAGCCGAACTCTAACAAACCATATTACAGATGCATTGTCAGATTTAAGTTGAACCTCGGTAACCGTGTGTGGAGAGCGGTGCGGTTCGAACCGTTGCACCCCTAATATATATATATATTATGAGAACGGGAGACATTTCAGACGCGCGCTCCACTTCACTTCAGCACCAGGCGCGAGTCAAACGAGTGCGGAAACGGTACTGTGCGCGCTGTAGCCTGTATCCTTTCATATCAAAGTGCGAAATAAACTATGTGCATGCAATGTTGTGGTCAGTTAAGTCATGAAGTTGCCAAAAAGGCAATTAAAGCTGCCTTAAAACTGTGCATGCATGTAATATATTTTATTTGAGTCACATTTAAGAACATGTCTCTGAAATGCTTTTCAAAACTGTCTTGGAGCAGCCCAACACTGTCTCCCTCATCTAACACACCCGATTTAACTCGTCAGCTCATTAATAGACACTTTAAGACCTGAAGTGGGTCAGAAGAGAGATAATACGATGCATGTGTCAGATTCACATCACGTTCAGCAGCGGCAATCAAAACAACCTAATAACCAGCTGCTGTGACGTCTACTAACCAAAGGACAAAGAAAAAAAATAACTTTCAATTTCTGTATATTTCTGCTGAAGGACACAGGTAAATGTGACATTTATTATAATGGGTTTATGTGAAGATTGTTTTAAGTTCACTTAAATTAAAAGTTGTTATTTTTTTTAAAGTCTAATAAATGTTAAAATTGATAGCTCTCAATTGTATTGTAATGTTGAAAGGCTACAGTCAATGGTTAAAAATTAGAAGAAGAGAAAACAAAAACAAGTATCAAAAACAAGTATCAGTGATACAAAAGTATTATATTAAACTTACAGATATTTAAAATATATACTGTCTTTATGTTGTTTCTACATTAATTTGAAGATTGAATGTAAAATTATAGCAATATAAAAGTATATTTAAAAACTTTAAAATTAGGTGTGATTAATCGCCCAACACTTAAATTAGAGGTTATTTTAAGTCTAATAAATGTTCAAATTGATAGCTCTCAATTATACTGTAATGTTGAATGGCTATAGTCAGTCAATGGTTAAATATTGGGGTGGGAAACAATTTCATAGAGACATCAGTAGTATTGGTATCATTGATACTGGCCTTCAGTCATAAAAAAATGCCATTAAACTAATATTTTAAAATATACTGTCTTAATGTTGTTTGTACATTACGATAGATGAAAAAACTATTTCGTAAACTGAAATAAAATAAAAATGACAAAATATTTGAAAAGCTAAAACGAAACAAACAACGATTATTGAAAAACGATCTGAAATAAAATTATAATTATAAAAAATAAATAATCGTTTAGGTAATCATTACGTTCTCACCCCTTGGTTTAGGGAAATACCTGTAAATGGCACATCGCGCATGTGGGGTTATCTGACGGAGAGACGCAAAGCAGTTTAAAGCAGAGTCCTGCATGGGTCCTGTTTGGTAAACGCATGCCATTAAACTAATATTTTAAAATATACTGTCTTAATGTTGTTTGTACATTAATTTGATGATTGAATGTGAAATTATTGCAATATAAAAGTATATTATAAAACTTTAATGTTAGGTGGGATTGATCGCGATTAATTTTTAAAAAATGAGCGATAAATTAGTTATTTTTAATTGATTTACAGCATTTATGTGTATGTGTGTGCGTATATATATATATATATATATATATATATATATATA